TAAGTGTGAAAAACGGTCATCAGTCACTTTTTCCAGTGCCGTTGTAATTTTGAATGGTTACTAAATGAATTGTTTTAAGTCAAGGTCTACCTGTAAAGAACTCTGCTATGCTTTGAACTCAACAAAAGCTCCTGGTTCACACCGTGTTTACAGTCAATTCGAATGCAGTAAAAATAACTTTTCCCAGCTTTGTTCAGCGGCTTTAGTAAGGAGTGACGTTTCTGCGTCATGAATAGGATCGCTGTTTGGAAGCCAAGTCTCAGAGTAGGCCAAATCTTAACATCACATGGATAATATTATTAAATTTTGGAACAGTGAAAAACATATTGAGCACTTATCCATAGGAAGGAATTGATCCATCACATGAATTTATTTGAAGGCTCTTATGCGTCAAAGGTTCTGATCTTTTTTTTAAAAAAATCCTTTGAACAAAGCCGCATCGTCTTTTTAATTCTTGCAAGCAATAAAATAGACAAAAACGGCACTTTGAATTGGTTCATTGTTTACAGAAATACACTCCGTCGTAAATCCAGTGGAATACAGAATAGTGGGTGCCATTGACTTTGGGTCGGTTTTAACTTATTTCACAGCAAACCGGGATGCTTTGCAAAAAAAAAAAAAAAAGTGGAAAGGGGTACATCTGTGCATCTTTCAACGGCGTTGAACTTCAAAAAGATGAGTAGAAATGTTAGTATGTCGATTAAAATCCCCAAAGACAGACACAGGGATTGTCTCACCTACCCATACTACATCAAACTATTTCAGAACAATTCAAGAAACAGAACATTCCATCTGCAAAAAATTAGTAGACTGGAAAGAAACGATGAGCTAAAATGGGTGGGAGTGCACTCAAATCAAAGGTATATAAATGTGGGGGTGGAGGTCCGTTCCCCGAGCTTATGGGATGGTTTTCCGAACGTTTTGTTACCTTAAACAAGAAGTCCTTGACTTACAACCTCAACTGAGCTCATGTAGTTCTGTAGTTTACAATTATAGTAAACTTTGGCAACAGTATTCCTGGAGCCTAGTAATGCAAGCCCCCCGTCACTTCCCTACATGGGTCACAACATCCCATGCTCCCAAAAGGAATGGAGCAGTTAAGAGTCTAGAAACCCCCCCTGTTTACTTGGAGTAAGTTAATTCACTAGGGCTGAGAAACAAAATTGGATTATGCTATCGCTAATTACGATCAATATGCTTAATACATATACAAGAAGGACTAGGGGTGACATGAGAGCAGAGTTCCAGTATCTCAGGGGCTGCCCCAAAGAAGAGGGAGTCAAGCTGTTCTCCAAAGCACCTGAAGGCAGGACAAGAAGCAACGGATGGAAACTAACCAAGGAGAGAAGCAACCTAGAACTAAGGAGAAACTTCCTGACAGTGAAAACAATTAATCAGCGGAACAACCTGCCTCCAGAAGTGGTGCATGCTCCAACACTGGACGTTTTTAAGAAGAGACTGGACAGCCATTTGTCTGAAATGGTATAGGGTTTCCTGCCTGACCACAGGGTTGGACTAGAAGATCTCCAAGGTCCCTTCCAACTATTCTATTCTATTCTATTCTATTCTATTCTGTTCTGTTCTGTTCTGTTCTGTTCTACTCTACTCTCTATTCTATTCTATTCTATTCCATTCCATTCTATTTCTAATTCCTAAATTCTATTCTATTCTACTCTACTCTTATTCTATTCTGCAATATCCTTTGTAGAGAAGCTCTCCTAAATAAATTTTCTCTTACCCAAGGAAACAGTTTGCACAATGCCCAAACTTCTAATTTTATTGTTTGCTTTGTAGAAATTTGAAGATCAATAACAAGCCAGTGCCAAGTAATACATAAATGCTTTTCCCCTATCTCTGAGGAGAAAGAAACTGCAAATATATACGTCAAACTGTGACACAAAGAAGGAAGGCTGGCGTATGCATGATAGATGGTTAGCAGGAAGTTGGAATGAATTATGATTTCCTCTTGTCTCGTGTTTCAGGTCTAGCAGTTTCCAGCTCTCTTTTTCAATCATTACACTACAAGGTGACCTTCAGTCACCTTTTGAGGAAGTTTCAATAAAAATTCAATTGGCACTTGGTTATTTTTTGCCCAGAGATGCGAACAGACTCAAAAGTCTCCATCATTCTTGGCCCTGATCTTTACTAAGGTTTAGTAACAGAGATGAGATCCAGCCAAACTTAACAACTGCAGTGATTGGCTTAATAACTGTAGCAAGAAAGGAAGGGCAAAACTCACTAAACAACCGTCCCTCTTAGCAACAGAAATTTTGCGCTAAATTGTAGTTGTAAATTCCGGGCTATCTATAAATACTGTGATACACCTATGATGGAAATATGTAGTCAATTTTATGACGGTATAAGGAATTCAAGAAGTTGTAAGTTGCAGGTTAGAAATAGGTTGGTTTACAAGAATAGAATTAGTGTTCTACACAGGTAGACCTTGACTTATAATAGTTCATTTAGTGACCACACTGAAAAAAGTGGCTTTTCACATGACCGTTGAAGCATCTCCACAGTCACATGATCAAAATGCAGACACTTGGCAACTGACTTGTATTTATGACAGTTGCAGGGTCCCAGTATCCACGTGACCCCCTTTTGTGAACTTCTGACGAGCAAAGTCAATGGGGGGAAATCCAAAGTCACTTAACTTTCCTGTTACTCCCTTAAAAAAGGCAATGATTTGCTTCAACCACAGCTGCGAGCAAAGTCGTAAAACGGGACAGACTTACTTAACCAATGTTTTCCCTTAGCCACCTATGTGTTGAGCTGAATTTCTGAATGTCGTAACTGGAGGACTGTATATTAATAGGCCATTTATCCAATTAGTTGGAGAAAAATTTGCTTTTCCCTCCTGTTACCAGTCAGTCACTCTAGGACAAGGGGTCTTCAAACTTGGCCCTTTGATGACTGGTGAACTTCAACTCCCAGAATTCCTCAGACAGCGTGCCTGGCTGAGGAATTCTGGGAGGGGTCTTCGAACTTGGCCCTTTCATGACTGGTGGACTTCAACTCCCAGAATTCCTCAGCCAGCGTGCCTGGCTGAGGAATTCTGGGAGGGGTCTTCGAACTTGGCCCTTTCATGACTGGTGGACTTCAACTCCCAGAATTCCTCAGCCAGGATGCTTTAAGACAGGGGTCTTCAAACTTGGCCCTTTTATGACTGGTGGACTTCAACTCCCAGAATTCCTCAGCCAGGATGGTTTAAGACAGGGGTCTTCAAACTTGGCCCTTTCATGACTGATGGACTTCAACTCCCAGAATTCCTCAGCCAGGATGGTTTAAGACAGGGGTCTTCAAACTTGGCCCTTTTATGACTGGTGGACTTCAACTCCCAGAATTCCTCAGCCAGGATGGTTTAAGACAGGGGTCTTCAAACTTGGCCCTTTTATGACTGGTGGACTTCAACTCCCAGAATTCCTCAGC